ACTACTATACTGAGGTTTCAGCACCATGGAGACTCTAAACAGAGAATTTAGTTCTTGGTGCGGAAAATTCTGCCGTAGAGAAACAATGGCATAAGCAGTTTGCGTTGCATTAATCCAATACATTTGTACCAATTTGTTGTGTAGCAGCCTAAAACTATTACAGCCAGAAAAAAAAAACAGCAAACACAGGAGTACCAAATGAGCAATCAGTATCATCCAAAGAATAGGAGACATCCCTATCACATGACATCCCTACCCCATGACAGGGAAAGATTTTGTCACTTACAAGGTCAGTCCACAATGTTCTTGGCTCTTACAAAAGAGTTAATTTGCAATCCCAAGCTTGATCTTCTAGGTTTATATAATGTGGTACTGTATCTACCTGAACTCACTGGAAGGGCAAGACTGACTCACTCACCCCAAGAGTTACCACGTTTGGGGTCTCTCATGCTGATTCATGCGATTTCGAGAAAGCACTGTGTGATGTCCAGACCTAAGCACATAGCATTGTTTCTCAGCATCACAGTGGGACCTTTGACCTACAGACCTGCTTCTCAATCCATGTTCCAGGAGCCACCAGGAAACTAGGAAAGGTGTTTGCAACCTGAAGAACGGAGCTCTGTGGTTGCTTAATAAAAGAAAGAAATAAAAAAAAAACTGGCAAAGCCCGTGATTGATGAGAAACTTGACATCTAAATTGAACCCTTGCTTTGCCACTTGCTCCCCGTGACTATTGAGCCCTTCTGTGCACCTCTCTGTGGAGTGCTACAACAGTTGTAAAGATGAATATATAAGGCACTAATGCTTCATACCTCCCTTTAAGTGAGCCCTGGGAAATAGGAGTCATTTAGCTACACGATGCTGACCTGATCTTATTTTGAAACCCAAAGGCTAGGCTTTAATCGTATTGGAAAACCCCACCCCTGTGCCCAGAATAGACAGCTGAGCACTCTTTGCTTCCCTGCTCCTGAACCAGTAGTGTCTGTTTATTGACTGGCCACTCCAGATTGGTACACGGAGTACCAGACCACGTCAGCCAAAGCCAGAATTTTAAAAAGCCATCGTTTTCCAGTCCTTTTCTCTTGCTTTCTTCATTCATCATAACGTGAATTATGCTAGCCATGTACACCTACTGAACCAAAACAAGAAAAATATTGTAAAGCAACAATACATTAGTCTACGGAATGTGTCAGGCTGTGACCTGAAAGCAGATAAAATGCTTACTATCTTAAAAGATATCATGAAGCTAAGCTTACATCCATCATTCTTGTAAGTGGGTATTATAGGGTTTTCAGTGCAGTGATAATACACATGACTTGTATTATACAAAGTAACTTGAGGAGGAAAAGGTTTATTTCACTCCCGGTTCCGTGTAACAGTTCATCATCAAAGGCAGTGAGGGCAGGAATTCAAGCAGGGCAAAAACCTGGAGGCAGAAGCTGATGCAGAGACCACGGAGAGGTGCTCACTGGCTTGCTCAGCCTGTTTTCTTATAGAAATCAGGATCACCACGCCAAAGGCAGCACCACCAACAGTGAGCTGGGCCTTCCCAGGTCAATCATCGATCAAGAAAATGTCCTACAGGCTCGCCTGCAGCCCAATCTTATGGAGGTATTTTCTCAATTGAGGTTCCCTCCTCTCGGAAGGCTTGAGCATATGTCAAGCTGACATAAAACTAGCCAGGATGGAGAGGGTGTTTAACCGTCAGTGGTGCAGCTTTGGTAGCATGACTGGCTGCACTGCATCAGGTTAACAAAGCCTTCAAAGGTGCATGCCACTAGTAAACACGGTCACATCCATACTCCCATAAGTGGGTCTGTTAAAGGAGCCTGCTTTCTGAGTATTGCTAAGTTGGTGCGTCAGCCTTCCTCTACATTGCAACAAGGGCAGTGGTGGCAGCATCTTTGTGAAGATGACCATTTGTTATAGAGATTGTGAAATTGCTTAATTGACTATAATACTTGAGAAGAAAAATGTCCTTCTAGCAATTCTGTTACAGTTTTGGATTACTATAGAAAAGGTTTGTCTGGGACATTTTATGTGAAACACCAGGCTATTGTTTAATTGACAGTGTATAGTGTGTGTGTGTGTGTGTGTGTGTGTGTGTGTGTGTGTGTGTACAGTGTTTGTATGTTTATATGTGCATGCCCATCTGTGCCTTTATGCGTGTATGCTTTGGGTCTACACTGTATTCCTCAGTTGCTCTCCTTTTTTTCCCCTTTGAGACAGGGCCTCTCCTGAATCTGTAGCTTACCATTTTGGCTAGTTATCTTTGCCCCTGCCAGCACTGGGCTTAAAAGAACATGCTGCCATGGGTCCTGGGGAATCATCATAGTGACCTGGGTTGCCATGCTTGCATTTACTGAGCCAATTCCCTAGACCTAAACTGATGTTTTCCAAAAGAAAACACTGGCAAAAGGCTTGCAGCTCCTGCCCCTTGGCAAAAGACTCTTTTACTGAAATGTAAGAGCTAGAAAACAGTATCTGTTGTTAAAATATGCCTATCTCGTTAACTTTTGCCTTCTTGGTGTCTAGAATAGTGCCTGAAACAGATGCAGGCACTAACTAATCCCTAAATGAACAAATTCAGTGAATGAATGCAATAGAATGAATTGGCAAGGTGCAAGAATATTTACATTCATTAGCTATCTATAAATTCTGAGCAGTGAAGGGAAAGATGGTCAAGTTACAAAGCAGACAAACCGGGAGGGGAGCGTCTTCAATCAAACCAGAACTATGGACTATAGCACCAGACAAAGAAACTGTTGTCAGTAGAATCTATCACCACGAAGTTTTCATTCCCAAATGGAAATTTCCAGAGCCTCTGTGGTAAACCATTTTGTGACTGGTCATTTAAGAGTAGCAATGCTTTTGCTTGAATAAGCATGGGGCAACAGCGCCATCTTCTGGAAAAATTTGTCGGGACTTTTAAAACCAATTTTTTTTTTGTGCAAGCTTCTTTTTATTTTTTTAATTAATTATTTATTAAAGATTTCTGCCTCCTCCCCGCCACCGCCTCCCATTTCCCTCCCCCTCCCCCCATCAAGTCCTCCTCCCTCGTCAGCCCAAAGAGCAATCAGAGTTCCCTGCCCTGTGGGAAGTCCAAGGACCACCCACCTCCATCCAGGTCTAGTAAGGTGAGCATCCAAACTGCCTAGGCTCCCACAAAGCCAGTACGTGCAGTAGGATCAAAAACCCATTGCCATTGTTCTTGACTTCTCAGTAGTCCTCATTGTCTGCTTTGTTCAGCGAGTCCGGTTTTATCCCATGATTTTTCAGACCCAGGCCAGCTGGCCTTGGTGAGTTCCCGATAGAACATCCCCATTGTCTCAGTGTGTGGGTGCACCCCTCGCGGTCCTGAGTTCCTTGCTCGTGTTCTCTCTCCTTCTGCTCCTGATTTGGACCTTGAGATTTCAGTCCGGTGCTCCAATGTGGGTCTCTGTCTCAGTCTCCTTTCATCGCCTGATGAAGGTTAATATGAACCCAAAGAAAAACATATAAAACCAATTTTCTTATAGCAAATTAAAGTAAGAATCACAGAAAAATTATATTGGATATATTTGGGGGGAATCTTATAGGCCACATTTAATCTCATATGTAATGACTTTCCTTAAATGGCTGCAATATTTTCTTTCTTTATAACGATATAACGGAACCTCAAATTCATTTCTCAGAAAGATAACTGCAACCATCCATGATAAACTGCATGACAGGTTTCCTGTAAATCTGAAACTGGAAAGCAGTTAAAATCTGTTAACTGACCATTTGAGGAACACTGTCCAATAGAAGTTTCTTCAACTCTGTCTGTGAATTACAACACAGTGGCCACTTTCCGAATAGGTTATAAATCCCTGATATGTGTGGCTGATGGCCCTGAGCTGAAATTTTAATTTTATGTGGCTTTAATGAATTCTGCATGTTGACCTGGATAATGTTTGATTGTGGGTGAGGGGCTGTCCTGTGAGCATGTTAGGGGAACCCTGGCCTCTAACCAGCTATCTTTCAAATCATGCACAACGAAGATTTTCCTGTCGTACAAATCCCCTTAGTAAAGACAATTCAGAATGGTTGCAGCCATTGTCAATGTCTCAAGTTGGGGGGGGCAGGGATTGAAAAATCACCCATGGCTGAAAGCTTTAAACAGCAGCAACTATATTGCACAGTGAGGTTCTAGAATAGGTTAAATATTCATATGGGATTTGGGATAGGAAAAACTTACTGCTATATCTAATACAGCCACAGTTGTGCCATAAAATGAGAAAAGGCTAATGCCATTAGATACAAACACATAAACACTGTCCTTCTTTGTCTCCCTTTTCATGCCATGGAGTAGGAGCCAGGACCATAATAACAGAAAATTCTCTCTTAGCTGAAATCGTCCTGGTTAACAGCAGACATTTTATGTTTGCACCTGGCTCCTCTGTCCTCGATCTGGGTAATTGGATGTATTGATCAGTCTGAGCTTCAGCCTATTACCTGGCAAAGGTAATACAGTAAATAGTACCCACCTGGGCGGTTTGCTGTGAAGGCTCAATTAGAAGCTAAGCTGCATAACGTGTTCCTTGTTGTGTGCTTACCTTGTAGGACATGTTCAAAACCAATAGCTATTTTGTAGACAGTCATATTTAAACAGAGGACAGTCTCTGGGCTCTCTAACCAATAGCATAAAGTACCCAGTGTGGTCCCATTAAAAAGAAGGGTCTCACTGGTGGGGGAAAATGTAGTTTTTTTGAGACAGGGTTTCTCTGTAGCTTTGGAGCCTGTCCTGGAACTAGCTCTTGTAGACCAGGCTGGCCTTGAACTCAGAGATCTGCCTGCCTCTGACTCCTCAGTGCTCGGATTAAAGGTGCGTTGTGCCGCCACCACCCAGCAGGGATGGAGGGTGGGGGGAGAAAGCACTATTCAAACATTCAAACATTATAAACAAGTATATTTGAAACTCCAGCGGCAGAGGTTTCAACAACTTTTTTCACTTGTTTGTGGCTCCACTCTCCACGCAATTAAAGGTGTAAAAGGAAGCGCTTCAGGTCTTCTGGGAGGAGGAGTCCAGTAATCTTATGATGCTGCCGAACGCCGAAGCATTTCCGGATTCTCAGGCGGCATAACTGCATCAAAGACAAGGGTCCTGGAGAAAGAGCATGGCACAAGTCACACATTAGCTTTGTTGACCTAGGACTGCCTTTAAAATCATGCAATATATAATATTCTTATACAGAAATAAATACTACACGCTTAAGGTCATGTTCCCTTGGGTTTGCTTGTTTGTTTTTAACTCTTTTAATTTTCTTGAGATTATAATATAATTACATGAATTTCCCCTTCCTTTTCCTCCCTCCAAATATTTCTGCATACCTCTTCTTGCTCTCTTTCAAATTCATGGTCTCTCTTCCATCATTAATTATTATGTGCATACATGAAGGGGCATTTTGAGGCTATGTTCTCTCTTTTCCCATTTAACTGAAGTAAAATCATTTTGGTATTTTAAGTTCTATTTTTTATTTTTAACTATAAGTATGTGTATAAATGATAGTATGCTCACATGAGGGTACCCTTGGAGGCCAGAAGAGGACATAGGATCACCCACAGTTGGAGTTACAGGCGGCTGGAAGCTGCCAGATGTGAGGGCTGGGAGCAGAACCCTGCTCTTTGCAATAGCAGGAAGCACCCGGAACTGCTCAGCCATCTCCGCCCCTCACTGGATTTTAATTTATGACAGAGTGAAAGACGTTTAAAAATTACCTTCGCTAACAGATGCTTAAGGAAACTAACTTGAAGATTAAATGACTATATGAAACATTTAATCATAAAAATAAAATTTATGTTTTATGGTGCTGTTCTTTTACCTTAAAAAGTAAATCACTGTTCTAGCTGAAAGTATGATTATGATATAATTTTAGCAACTTAAAGATGTTCAAATATACTAGGCTCCCAATGAATCCTAAATTCATGTTATTAAGACGTAATTCATTTTCTACTCTGTATTCTAAGATATCCCAAAGCTTCAGCTCACGGGTGGAAACTGAAGTAACAGAAACGTGCACAGGAAACACCCAGGAGTTTACATCTTATGACGATCTCAACAGGCTGGGAAGGGGAAAAGAAAAGGGAAGGATTTCCTTCCTGGAGTCAGGAGCACAGCACAGCTCTTGACTCTGCCAATGGTTCCAAGGTTTAGAACCCTATTTTAGTATAGAAGGGAAAGTATAATCACCCACCCTACCTCTGCTCCTTACACCAAATAAAAATGGAATTTTTCTGGTAATTTTTTTGATTTTTCCAGACAGCTTCTCTGGCTGTCCTGGAACTAGCACTGTACACCAGGCTGGCCTCGAACTCACAAAGATCAGTCTATTTCTGCCTCCCAAGTGCTGGGATGAAAGGCATTCATCACCACCACAGGGATTTTTGGGTAATTTTTAAAAGAAAACTATATATACCCTTAACGCGATGAAACAGTAGCCTTCGATCAAAGATCCAATTTAGATTTGGCTGGAGCTGGGGAAGTTTAGACTACATGACCCTGTGTCCCACCCCAAAGATACTGCTTCAATTATCGTCGCTTTGCACCTGTGAGCGTAGATTTTGTTAATGCCACGGGCCCTGGGCCATTCTATTGTGAAGTCAATCTTGAGACGACAGCTGAAATGATGCTGTGGTCCCTACTGTCCTGCAGCCTCACCACAAGCGAAAGTCAACTTAGTTGTGGGTTTCTCAGGTGATGGAAGACAAGACGTTCAAACAAACATTGTCAAAGAGATGTGTGTATGCTCTAGCTGGGGCCCTAAGAGCACTTTCTAGAAGGGACCAGTTGAATAGGGCACCTTCCAGATTATGCCCAAGGCACAGACCAACAACAAACTTCACAGCATATACTTAGGGAGAAATGGGAGTTAACGTAATTTCACTAAGGAGTGCTGGAGGATGTGACTAATACATGCTAGACACACTGTCAGGGCAACTGTGGGAAGCGCTCATGAAGTTCAATGAAGAAGATGGCTTCAGAGCAAGCTTGGTGGGCTGAGAGAGTCATTATACATTTTCAATCTGTGCCATGAAAAAGAGTTTTAGGTACCAAGCATGGGGGCGGAGGAAGGATAATATTCTTAAAATCCTTTCCCTTCACTCCCAAAGAAAGGGAGATCACCACCTTTTTTATCTTCCATGCTGAGCCCAACTCAACACAGTTAAATAGTCCCCAGTCCCCACACTCTTGAAGGACAGCAATTTAAGTTGTCTCCCTGAGCCCAGAGCATCAGATAAGCTGAATCAGCAAGGACATCCAGACCCAGAAACTGATGTGTTAACACCTCCAGATCTCACTTTTTGTGCTTGCCTGGGACCGTTTGTGGTGGGCTATCTGCCAGCTAAGAAGGAGCCTCACCAGAATCCCAAAAGTGACTCATGAAGGCAAAACAGAGGTGATTTTCTTCAGGGTAAAATTGGATGTCCTTAGGGTGGATCCTAGAGCTTCTCGTTGTGGTAAGCATGTGCTATCCCACCAAGCTCTACTCCTAAACCAGTAGGATCCTAGGCCTTACTGTCACCATGCCAAGTGTGAGATAAAATTAAGGAATGGCACAGGTCTCTATGAATACCTTTGGGGACTAGAGTAGAAAGAGAGCATCAAGCTGAGAGTGGTGACGCACACCTTCAATTCCAACAGGAAGGCAGAGGCAGCGAGATCTCTGTGAGTTCAAGGCTAGCCTGATGTACATAGCAAGTTCCAGGACAGCCAGGATACATAGAGATACCCTGTCTCAGTTTTTTTTTTTAAAAAAAAAGGAAACCATAAGTGAATACAATCTGAAAATCTTAAAAGGTTCTATGAAGAGGAATGAGTTCTAATCACCCTACTATATGATTTCAGAGGATCCGGGGCACAGTTACAGCTACTCTGGGTGTCATATTCCCAATAAAAAAATATTACAAATTATTTTACAACTATGTTAGTATAAAAATAAATATAATTCTAGTTAGGCTTGATTTGCCTTTCTTCTTGTTTTCACCAAAATTAAAACATTTCTGTGGGCCCTGGGGACTGTTGGAGAAAGTGAGCCTGTATGTATACACAGAATCTTTTTTTTTTTTTTTTGGTTTTTCGAGACAGGGTTTCTCTGTGGTTTTGGAGCCTGTCCTTGAACTAGCTCTTGTAGACCAGGCTGGCCTTGAACTCACAGAGATCCGCCTGCCTCTGCCTCCCAAGTGCTGGGATTAAAGGCGTGCGCCACCACTGCCAGGCTTCACAGAATCTTCTTAAAACAAGAAATCATCAAGCCGCAGGCAGAAATGCCCAGTGACTATCCAACTGATTGACAGAAAGAGCTCTCTAGTTGACTCCTTCCACCTACATCAGTCTTCCTTAGCCTGCCCTGAAAGGCTAAAGAATGCAGGCAACTGCAAGCTGGACATTTGCCCTGAAGCAGTGGGAGGAGGGGGAAGTTTGGCCCACCTTACCATTCCACCCAGCTTTGGCCCTACTTCCCAGCCCGTGGTTAGAAAACAACCAGCTTATTTGACATCAGAGTCCTTGGGGTAGGGAAGCCAGCTTCAAAATCCCACAGTCCAAAACCAAAGCACAATCAAGCCTCTGGAAGGAATTAGGTCCTGAACTTCCTCCCAGGACAAGTAATGATGCAATCAGGTATCCTCCCAACCTGGAAGGGGTCTTTGCTCCCAGAAATGGCCCTTCTGCTGTGCCCACCACTGTTCAGTTATTTGCGTGAGCAGTGTGAGGCCTTATTTATGGAGGAGTGCGGTTAACTTGCAAGAGTAAATGTATCTTGACTGGCGTGACTCATTAAACAAATACCCTAAACTCTCGGTTCTCTGCATCTTAACCCCAGCAACCAATTATTCTGTGGTTTGGCTGCTCTACGGAGCAGTTAAGACATCTCGGGGGATCAGACAATGCCTAGAAGGTTTCCGCTGAATGTCTCTAAAGCAGTGGTTCTCAACCTGTGAGTCACAAGCCCTTTAGAGGGTCACCTAAGACCATCAGAAAACACAGATGTTTACACTCGGATTCAGAACAGTAGGAAAATTACAGTAACAAAGTGGCAACAAAAATAATTTCATGGTTGGGGGTCACCACAACATGAGGAACTGTATTAAACGGTCACAGCATTAGGAAGGTTGACAGCCACTGATATAAAGCATGCTTCAGTTCACTTAAATATCAAATACTTTGAAATAATAGCCGACCTCTTTAAAAACTGGCCTAACAACCTGACTCAAACATCAAGCAACAGAAGGCTGTTTACTTCATAAACAATGCTATGCCCTGTGGGATTATTTCCGGTTTCCCATGCATGATGACAGCAGAGAGCAACCTTTTATTGGACTGGAAGTCTGAACTTCTGTCTCATGCTAAAGATCAAAGGAATATCAGGGGTTATGGCTTAGATTCGGGCAAAGAAAGGAGAGGCACCTTCTCTTTCCAAAAAGATCTCAGTCAGAGGACTCCCCGGAGGCACCAGCTCCAGGGGCCGCTTTCCTTCAGCATTCTTAGCTTGAGCAGTTGCTCCGAAGTCCATCAGCAGGTGCACCAGTTCCCCATTTGACATCCTGGCAGCGACATGAAGAGGTGAATCCAAGCCTTTGCCTTGATCCACAGATGCTCCTAGACAGTCACAGGAACAAAAGAGGTCAAAGGGGAGCAGCAGCTAACCACACACTTTCTCACACCATGGAGTCTCAAAGGCATTTAAAAGTGGGGAATCTGTGATGAACGTAATTCCGTGAGACTGGGAACTGATCCTTTTTCTATCATTTAATATAGTAAGAGGGAAACTGGGCAAAGGGTATACAGCTCTCTTGGTAAAGGGGTTGCCATGCAAGTATGAGCATCTGTGCTCAATCACCAGCCCTCAGAGAAAAGTGTGAGTGTGGTAGCACGTGCTCGTAATCCTACTGTGCTGATGGGTGGCGACAGGCAGACACCTGGGGCCAGCTGAGCCCTGTTGGGAGCTCCAGGTCCCAGCGAGAGCCCTGCTCTGAACATCAAACTGGATGGCTCCTGAGGAAGAATGCCTTTGACCTCTGGCCTCCACATGTACACACACACACACACACACACACACATTTACACAAATATAATAAAAGGAACTATTATTTGGCAATGTGACTGGGAGTCCAGTGTGGGCTGACTAGCATATGGAGCTAACCAACTCACCACAGAGTATTCTTCCTGGGCATGATGCGACTGAGAAAAATCCGGAAAGCATGAAAGCTGCATATTCATTATATTAGACAGACCAAACATGAGGTGAGATGGGGAAACCCTGTATACATGATGAAGTAAGGTTCACACACCGAACAGGCAGCATTGCGTTTAGAGCCATGGGCACTTGAGACTCTGTAAGCTGGATCACTAAGCACAACCAATTACGGAAGGTATTTTTTTTTCCTGAGGTGGAATAATGGGTCCTGTTACCACACAGGAAGGGTGGCAAATTCTCTTTAGGAGTCAGGTGGATTTCTGGGAATATGCCCACCCAACTCTACCTACCCTCTAAACAATTCCCTACCCCAGCTCAGACACTGCTTCTTACTGAGGTATACGCAGGTCACTCTTTCACCTGAGCTCATCTCCCTCCGCAAAAACCGGTGCCCACTCAACAAATGTTGAGTTGTTTTTAAATAATATTTTTTTTTAATTTGTGAGAGATGCCAGACATGGCCTTGTCCTGGATAAGAGTTTTAAATATCTCAAAGCTTAAACTCTACCTAAAAGTAGTAACAGGAAGGAGGGCGAATGGCAGAGAAAACTTGTGAATAAGAATGGCTAACAGTTAAGTGAAAAGAAGTAGCAAACTCAAGAGCGCTGGGGAAGAGCAAGACTGCTGGAGTCCTAAAGGGGGAACAGAATTCAGATAATTAGAGAGTTGCAATAGTGTTCTCAGTTTTGAGAAGGGGACTCCCTTCTGGACAACTGAAGGGAGATATGGAATGCTAGTACATCTCTTCAAGAACAGGAAAGTATTTATGGCAGAGTAAATTCCTAATCAGAAAGAAATGTAGAAGACAGTCCCAAATAGGAAGCGTCAGCTAAAAGCTGGGAGTTTTGCAAGCTGTGCAAAGCTGAACGTATGACTGTCCAGCCAGAACGAGGCAGAGGAAAGGGAGGACCAACTAGTGATAAATGAGGAACAACCACCCTGGAAGAAGGTATGGGCGGTATCACCATCATCATCATCATCTTCTTCTTCATTGCCATGCTAGTTAGAAGTGAGAGAACTGAAGTGTGAACCATCGGGACAGTGTGGTCTCGCTCAAGCCCCTTGCCACAGTCTTCCCTCTAGTATGACAGAAGGATCTTTAAGATTCACTTAATTTACTTTTCATTTGCACGCCTTTTTTTTTTTGTCTTACCTGACTCCAGAAGCTTCTTGGCACAGTCTACCTGCTGATTTTTACAAGCCACATAGAGAGGAGTGCCCAGGTGGCTGATGTTATAGTCAATATTGGCCCCAAAAGTTGCAAGGGACTCGATGCATTTCACATGGCCTACAGCCCAAAAAGAAGAAGAAAGGGATTATGGTACAAATTCCCTAAACAACAATCCCAGTTTTTTTTTGTGTGTGCTTGAATGTATCCCCAACATATCCAGCAATCAAAAGCCATATTCTTTTACTCAGAATGGAGAATGATTTCAAATACTGGCAGCGGAGTAAATATCTGTTCCAAAGTCCCTTATGCCAGCTCCGCCGCTGGACATCCACGCCACACCACGAAGAGGAGAATAAGGTTTTGGCCTTGGTTCCCAAAAACCAAAGGAGGGTGCCGATGAGCAGGCTCCAACCATCCACATCTGCAACTGTGGTTAGAATGGCACCTGCAGCCGTTCCCCTTTGCTAGTTGTTTGTGTGCTTAAAAGAGCCATGGAGAGACGGGCATAAAGATAGCCCCCAAAGGAAGACATAGGACGCATACAGCACAGGGAATGAAGCTTACAGCTTGCAAAGACTGAAGGACTAGGGCCACAGTGAGCAGAGGCAAATCTTAGACACTGCCAAATCCCATGGGAGCAAAGCCCAGTCTGACAAACAAAGTTTGGTCAAACAGATTCACTCTTGCCTTGACCCAGAATGTCATACTTTAAACATTGTCTCTCTGCGGTCTCGTGTTGAGCCATTTTAGTTGTATGTATCCGGTAAATATGTTGAGTTGGTATGGCTCTTCATTAAGAAATGGCAATGCTTTTTCCCCGATAATCTCAACATGGGTTGGTCTGGTTGAATGTGAAGCCATCTGGAAAGTCACTGGGTAAACAGAAAGTCCTCCAGCAAAGTATAGGTGTGCCAGTGACGATAAACACTAGAGAAAAGTAAAACTTCAAATCTTACATTATAAAAAGATTTGCTCCCTTGTGACAACTGTCAATGTAACAGAATCTAGAATCAGTTTGAAGGTAAGCCTCCAGGCACACTAGTGAGGATTTATCTGATTGAAGTTGGCATCTGGGAATTTCTATGAGGGGTTATCTTGATTGTTGTTAATTAGTATGTGGGCCTCATCTTCATTGTGGGCAGGACCATTCCCTGGGCAGGAGAAATCAAGCTAAGCAGCAGCATGTGTGCATCCATTATTCTCTGCTTCCTGGTTGTAAATGTCATGTGACCAGCTGTTTCAGGCTCCTGTTGCCTTGAAATCCCCAGCACGATGGGCTGTACTTAGAAGTGGGAGCTAAAATCAACCCTTTGTCCTTTAAGTTGCTTTCATCAAAGGTCCAAGTATTTTATCACGGCAACAGGGAGAAAAAAAAATCTAAGATCATCCCTGAACTGACTGAAAATATGGTTCGCTTGTCAAACTTAGATGACCCTAAACCACTATTAACACCCTAAAACAGAAAATGAAAGTTTGTTTTTACAACGCACACAACAAATGCTGGTAAGGAACCCTTATCCACTGCAGGTCAGAATGTAAACCAGTACACCCACAATGGAAAGCATTATGGAGGTCCCCCAGAAAAACTGCAGTGAAATTACCATGCAATTCAGCTAGACCAACACTCCTGGGTATATACTAAAGGAACCTGAGCCAATGTACCACAGGGATATCTGCAAACCCAGGCTTATCATAATATGGTTCACAGTAGTTGAGATATGGAATCATCTCAGATCTCCATTAACAGCTGAATGGGCAAAGAAAATATGATACATGCACAGCACGGTTTTATTCTGCCATAAAGAAGACTGAGATTATATTGTTCACAAGAAAAGGAATGTAATCGGAGAGCATCTTGTTAAGCAAAATAAGTCGAACCCAGAAAGGCAAATACAAAACACACATTCATTCATATGTGAAACTTAGATTATATATGCATGTGCACACACACACACACACACACACACACACACACACCCCATAAAAGTAGAAGGGGGACTACTTAGAAGAGGAAGAAGGGCAGGAGAGGGAAATGAGGTTGAATATGACCGAGGTACATGATAGCCTCAAATGAAAATGTTAGTGTGATACCTATTGATTCATACAAATAAATAGGAACTTAAAAAAAAAACTTGATTTCTATGGGGTCAAGTATTCCACAAAGATCCATAGTCTACTATGTACCATCCCTTGTTATGAAAGTATAGCTCTGAAAGAGTGATTCTCAAACTTAACTGTGCACCAGAACCCCCTGAAGGGATTTGGATTAAATGGGACTGGAGCAGAGCCCAAGAGTCTGCCTTCACAGTCCCGTCATACTGATGCTCCTCCTACCAGGTGCCTTTGGAAACGTCCCTCTTCTTTCCCATTTCAGTAGGACTGGGTAAAAACCTCCCAATTCCCCATGAATTTACCTCTCTTTGCAGCCTCGTGGATGGGAGAGGCCAGATCACTCTCAGGATGGGGAGCGGCTCCATGCTTTAGAAGCAAATCCACACAGTCCTGGCTGCCACTGATGCAGGCATTAAACAAGGGAGTTCGCCAGTCTATAGCCATGCCGTTCACCTGTGGAGAAAACCCAGCTACAGGACGAAGACAGTGACTGACGTGGACCACACACACGTTAACCCTCCCACTTTCAAAGCATTTTTTTAAACTTCTCTGAGCCTTAAAGTCCACCTTTTTATGTAAAATGAGGACCACCAAATTGTCATTTAAAAAAAACCAAAGTATAAGATATAAGGCAGTAATGATGCTACTGAAGATTCGATCTCCTCCCTGCCCTCCTTGGGGTCATGAACTTTGAAATTAGTTGTGATGATCCATAGCATGGCTTACAAATTAATGTGTCCATTTTAGACATCTATCCTAGACAGTAGCCAGAATAATCTGAAATTGACATTTTAAAAAAAACTGGGTTTTTTTTCATTTAAAAGGTTGATTCTTGTGCAAATATGCTTAACATATGCCAAGATTTTGTTCAACTCATCCATTAATGAGAGAATTGGTAAGATGGTAGGGTCAGATCAATGAGAATTTATATAGCCAGTCAAGATGCTACTTAAATATGTTTGCAAATAGATACAACACTGGTTAGCAAGATCATAAAGTTGTATATTTTGGAGCTATTTTTCTAATGTTAGAAATTTCACCGAAATTTACAAACTAGCATCCGTGTCATGATGTTGCAGCTACAAACAAGCCCAAATACACACAGACCCTTCTAATCATATAAGCTGATGTAGCTATTAAATGAAGATATTGTGGGGGAAAAAAAACTGAGTTCACTGACACACCCTCTTTCCAAAGAAGGCCAAGGCTTCGAGGACATGCAGGAGATGGCCATGGTGTTTTATCACAGCAACAGAAAAGGAACTAATAGAGCTTTCTAGCTAAAAATTAAACAGTCCACCTCCAGGTAAAGTACATGTACTTGATGGGCATAATACTCTTGAAAAGGTTCACTCCTCACATTTTAAATCAGACTAATCAAAGTACTGGAAATTATTGAGAGCGATGGAAATAGCCAGCCTTCATTTTTGACACTGCTTGTTTCTATTATTTAAGCTTCACCTACCTGAGCTCCATGACTTATTAAAACACTTGCGCAAGACAGATGACCTCTCAGGCATGCTTCATGGAGTGGAGACACGTGATCGGCTGTGATGATGTTCACGGGCCAGCCCTAGAAGAAGAGAAATGGCTTCAAAAGAGGGGAGAAGGCAACAGTACCCGCAGGTTGGTTTTCAGCTACATAATTCCAGTGCTATGTGAATTCTCTGAAAAGTTAAATCATATGGGCAGGCAAAAATAAAAAAAAAAGTCTACTAAAGTCGTCACCGTCGTGTAAAAACAAAAAGACAAGAAAAGTGGCCCCTTCCACAGTGCAAATGAGAGCCTAATATAAGACAGCCACAAAGGAAATGACTTTGCCAGGATCTACTGAAGTCAGCAACTCAGCAATTTCACTGTTATATACACTCAAGAAACAGATACCTAGGAGTCTGGGGATGTGGCTCATCTGGTAGACTGTTTGCCAATCTGCTTGATTTAACAGTGGGCTTCACCCAGTACTTACTGAGAAGGACAAGTATGACAGGAGAGTGAGGGAAAGCACACGTGAGCCTCTGTTTTCCTGGCTTGTGTGAGTGTGTGTGTGTGTGTGTGTGTGTGTGTGTGTGTGTGTGTGTGTGTGCATTGCCTGGGAAGCCCTGCAGTGAGTCTTGTCTCCTAGTAGTAATGGCCTGTGTACTCGGCTCTCCTTTAATGCAGTATTCTCTGATGCCGCCTCTTGCTCTTCCTTCTCCAGTCTTCCTCATCCTCCTCTTCTTCTTCTCCTCTCCTCCTCCTAGGTTCTTCCGCTGTTCTTCCCTTACTCTTTCTTCTGTAGTCTTCCCTTTCCCTCTCCGGTCCTCTCTTCTCTCACCTCTGCTTCTCCCCTTCTTCTCCTACTTTTCCTCCTCCCTTCCACTAAGCCACTACTCTACCACTGAGCTGCATTCATATCAAGATTTGCTTCTAATTAAGATAATATATAAAGGTTGTTTCCAAGAGTAAACAACTCTTATTTGGCTTGCTCTCTTTAGTTGGCATCTTCTGGGCTTATTCTGGTGAAGTCCTTGATAAGAATATGAGGGTGGCCCCCACCCAACAACCAGTCAGAAAGTGAGACCCTCAGGAGGAGTTGGATCTTGTCAGCTGCTGTCTCAGTAAGCCTGGGTACAGATATTTCGTTAGTCAAGTCTTACGAGTAGACTTTCTTTCGAGAGTCCTGGCCCCATCAAAATGTTGTCTAAATTCCTGACAAAGTCTATAACAAAGACACTTGTTTGTTGCTTCATGTTGCTAACTTTTGAGCATTTTTTTTTTACACAGCAAGTGGTGTGGGGCCAAATGATACAGGGCCAAGCACCAGATGAACCCTAGTAGATACAAAGTCCCAAAGCAAAGATCCAATTGCATTCCCACAATCAGACCTAGGTCTGGAAATGCAAAAAAAATGTCTAAAAGTTTAGCCTCAGGATCCATCACGCTCTGGGAAAATGCGTAGTCCAGGAGCTAGATCCTGAGCTCAGTGCAAGCAGGACATGAAAAGTGGTCCATCCAGGAGCAGTTTCAGAGCCCTAGCCCTACCCCATCTTAGAACATGTTGTCCTGGAGACACAGATACAATAAAAGTACGTTTTAATTTACATATGCTTAGGGTTGTTTTTAATTGTGTGTGTGTGAGAGAGAGATGTGTGTAGGTGTACAGGTATGATGTAGACACGCATGCGTGTTCAGGTGCATGTGTCCTACTTTATGACAATCCTCCGTATGCCTTAGAGACAGCATCACTCAATAAACCTAGAGTTTGATTGGCAGTCACAGAGTTGCAGCAAGCCTTCTGTCCCTTCCCTCCCTAACCCCTACAGTGTTGAGGTTGCAGGTTAATGTGACCAACCAAGCTTTTCACGCGGGTCCTCATATTTGTGTAGCAAATGCTCTTATCCACTGAGCTATCTCCCTAGCCCTTATGCATGGCCAATTTAATCAATGACTCAAATATGTATTATAACTTTTCTTCCTGGAATAGTCTAAATTTGCCTAAAAAGGTTCCAATAAATGGCCTTACTCTCCATTAGTCCTGACACATATTTTTCGACTTCTGTGGACATTCATTAGTGGGTCAGCAACTAATCATCTTGTGCCTTTGGCTTTTACCTTCTCATTGGCAGGGTCACACAATTTGAGATATCAAATCACTCGGTGCTCACGCCCCAGTTCACAGGGGCTCAGATCCAGAGCCGGGGAAAGGGCTCAATATGTTTGTAAATGAGAGGCTCCAATGCCATTGACCGTCTTTCTCAATGCCCACTCTGCTCTTTATAGGGAAGGAAGATACTGAGTTTCCTTTTCTCCAGAACCTCAGATTCCATCTGTACACCCTGACACCGCAAAACACGTCTCCCGATGTCTGACACCAGCAGAACTTAGCTGACTGATCATATCCCTTTCCCAAGCATCACCATGGACTTTACAACATGACACTCATTATTTTACTATTGCCATTATTAATTATTTGTTCATTTTAGTGAAAGCACAACCCCAAATCTTCTTGTTTCGTTTAAATTTTCATTATCAATGTTCTCCTCTTTGTCTAATCTACACCATTCACCCTGCAGCACGTAGGAAAATTCATGATGAAACTGTTAACTGCAAATTTAGGCCTGGTGGCATAGGCATGCAGTCCCAGCTGCTTAGGATCAAAATGTCAAATCCTGCCTGGCCTACAGAGCAAAGTTCAAAGGCTAGCACCAGCTGAGTTAAAAACAAACAAACAAACAAACAAAAAACCCTAAGTCAGAAAAGAAAAAAAAGCTGGTAGCATAGCTCAGTAGTACATTAACTGCCAAGTATATGTAAGGCCCTAGGTTCAATTTCCAGTAACACACACACACACACACACACACACACACACACACACACACACGGCTGCTTTTTTACCTAACAGAGGATGAAATAAAAGACAATTGTCCTTTTAATGAAATTTTTACTCATTTTGTATTATTCAAAGTAGCCCTCTAGCTCTTTCAAAGCCAACACTTGGGAACTTGTATATAAACCCAGGAAAACCCAAGGCAACGCGGAAATGAGTCCCCAGTGTGAAACCTTTTAACCATCCATTATAGAGTTGCGTCACAGAAAAATTCCTTTAGGTCTCCTTCTGAACCTTTAGGATCTTATTTAGAGTTCATCAAGCCACAGCTGTGCCTTCAATGATCTTAGGATTTGTCTGACTAATTGACAAACCTGAATTGTGTAAGATCAGGGTGTAATTTTAAGTCCCCAGGGAGCTCTGCCTGCGCAAACACATACTGACCGGACAGCTTCTTTGTAATGGTTCTCTTAAGAGTTGCCACCTTCTTTCAGCTCATGGCCACACACCTTTTTTGGTAGGCCGCTTGGGTAGTACAGGATTGAGGACTGGTGACTGAGCCAATATAGAGCTCAGTCCCTAGTAACACTCTGTTATAACACGAAGTGTCATGTGTCCACCTAGCTGGAGCCAACCACAAAGACCTTTAGGCTCGTCAGCTTTTCTGTCCCTGGATCCTACTTCCTTCTGTACTCTCATCAGAAAGGAGGCTGGTGATGACCTGGCTCCCTCACATTCACACCCGCCCTGCTTCACCAAGAATATCTCAGCCATTTGACATGGCACTCCTACGGCCCCCTTATCCCCACCCCTAAAGCCTCTCTGCACCTTCTACAATCTTCCTTCCCCTTGATCTTTTCTCTGAGGAAGGAACATATGGACTTTCCCTGACAGCCCTTAGAATTATGGGGTCCCTCCTCCACCCATAAAGCCTCATGTCATCTACCTTCTTACATTCTCCCATTCCCAGTTCTCTCTTCAGACATACTTTTGCACCCTACACTTTCATATCCTTGAGTCCCAAAGCCTCTGTCCAGCCATCATTCAGGGTCCTCCTTGTTTTCACTATCCCCCACCCCAACAAAAATTACCTATGTTCTTGGTTTTGCCTTCTATCAGACATTCCTCTCTACTATGCGATCCTGCCCAAACTTCTCTTAATGATCTTAGAATGGAAGATAAAATCCACTAGAGGGTGAAAAGCTTTCATTGGAGATGGGGGAGAAGATGGGAAAGAGAACATGGGACAAGATCAACCAAAACGAAGATTGTACGCAAATGTCATAAGTAAACCAGGATTGTATATAAATGCCCAAAGTAAACTTGCCTCTTTGTGTGCTCCATCAAAAATAAAATAAAAATAAGTAAAGCTCACCAGTAGCTTCTTTGTCAAACCCAATATGCAATACTCAGTCTTCCACGTTCTTCCACCTCTGATTTTGCTGTTTATTCATTGTGACCTCCAGAAACCTTTCCTCTGGCTTCTAACATACTGTTCTACCTGATTTCCATCTTCAGACCATGGTTTTTCTCTTTCACTGACTCTGTCCTTTCCTCTGTACCTCTCCCAGGATGGGCACTTTCTCAAAGTTTCTCCTCAAACGTTTTGGATTTTTTTGTGTACATTCTTTTCTATGCTGCTTACATGTGATTGCATGCAAACGCACGCATACACAACCATGCTCTTAATCATCCCTGGTGCATCTTCAAATTCTATTCCAAGACACAATCACCTAGGGACGCAACTAGCAATATAAAGTCAGCCTGTTCCAATCTAAGAAAAAAACATCCTTGCCACTCCCATTTCTCTAAGTGGCATGAAGAGCTTACTTGATCTCTACAATTGAGAGCTCAGGAAGTAGGCTGGCAGTTCCTCCCAAGGTCAAACACAAGTACCAGGACCTAACAAGCAGTGTGACTAGCAGCCAATTACCTATCCCTAAGGTAACATTGATGTGGGAGGGTCTTCTTTCTATGTTTTGCTTTCATTGGTTAAATAAAGAGACTGCCTTGGCCTTATGATAGGACAACAGCTTAGATAGGTTGAGTAGACCAAACATAATGCAGGGAGAAAGAAAGCGGAGTCAGGCAGACACCATGTTTATCCTCTCCAAGACTGACGCTGGTTAGACTCATGCCAGTAAGCCACAGTCAAGTGGCAATACAGATGATTACAAATGGGTTAGATCAATATGTGAGAGTTATCCAATAAGAGGTTAGAACTAATGGGCCAGGCAGCATTTAAATGAATATAGTTTCCATGTAATTATTTCGGGTAAAGCTAGCCGGGAGCCGGAGAGCGGGAAGCAGCCCGCTCCTCCTGTTTACAACACAACATGTTCCTATGTAAAATGGCTACAACTGCACCTGCCTTCTAAAGTTATTAAGACTGGAAAATGGTGGCTGCAAAAGTTTAGCACTCAGTAATTGTCAGGCCAACACTATCTGGGATCTTCTCTTCCTTCTCACTTAGCCTTCAATCAGTTGGCAGTTTCTAAATGCAAGTAATTTAGCTTCTGTCCTGATCTCTAATTAGCCTTTTAAATATCCCAGTGGGCATCTGTGCAGGCTAATTTTGAATCAACTTGAAAACAGCTAGAGTCACGTCAGAAGGAAACCTCAGATGGAAAAAAAAAAGTGCCCACCAGATCAGCCTGGAGGCAAGCCTGTATTGCTTGACTGATGATTGATATGGAAAGCCCAGTTCACTGTAGGTAGGCCTTGCCACCCCTAGGCAGGTGGTCCTGAGTGCTCTAAAAAAAAAAAGGTAGGCTGAGTAAGCCATGAGCCAGTAAGCAACCCTCCTCCATGGCCTATGCGTTAGTTCCTGCCTCCCGATTCCTGCCCTGATGTCCCTCTATGATAAGCTGTTGGCCTGGAAGTATAAATTGAGACAAACCATTTACTCCCTGGGCTGCTTTTGGTCATAGTGGTTTTTTCCCAGCAAGAGAAACCCTCAAAAGGCAAGAAGGGCTAACAGTTTTCCTCAAGTTTCTGAAGGATAAAAATCTACTTTTCCCTACTTGCTTGTGGTGAGAATTAACTGAGATGTTTCTTGGTTTTGACTACAGAGAGGAATCATGGAGGAAGCTTTCAAAAGGTCCTGGTATCCAAGCTACACCCAAGAGTGATGGCAACATAATGAAAGGAGGCTGAGTTCAGCTACCATGTTGTTTGTTGGTTCATTGTTGTAAGACGCAGGACTGAACCTAGACCCTGTCATTCGTTAGGCAAGTGCTCTGTCACTGGAGCTATACCCAAATCCCTTTTCGTCTTCTGTTTTTGTCTTCTGTTTCCATTCTCATGTTTTGTGTGTGTTATGTGCGTGTGTGTATGAATGTTTGTATTTGTGTGAGTGTGTAGGTATGGCAACATGTGCATGTGGGCACATTTTCCTGTATAGGAGAAAGGTCAGCCGGGAGGTGGTGGCGCACTCCTTTAATCCCAGCACTCGGGAGGCAGAGACGGGTGGATCTCTGTGAGTTCGAGACCAGCCTGGTCTACAAGAGCTAGTTCCAGGACAGGAACCAAAAGCTATGGAGAAACCCTGTCTCGAAAAATCCAAAAAATAAAAATAAAAAAGAAGAAAGGTCAATGTCTGGAATTGTCCTTCCTCCTTATTCATTGGTGGGGGCTCTATCAGTCAAACCCAGAGCTTGAAGGCATGACTAGTTTTGTCAGCCAGTTTGTTCCCGGGGTCTCTTGTCTCTGCTTCAGAGGCTGGAATTGCAAGTGGGCCACATCCCCATGTGCATCATATGGGTTTGGGGATCCATTCCCTAGTCCATACACTTGAGATGCAAGCACTTAAACCACTGAGCTATCCCCCACCCCACATCCAGCCATTTTAAACATGTGAGATAGGATCTGAGTTGCACAGACTGGGCTTGAACACACTGTAAATTAGGATGGCCTTGAACTTGTAGTCCTCTTGCCTCAGCTCCAGAGTATCTGGGATTACAGACTTTCATTAGCGGGTCCAGTGACGGGTCCATAATTTTAAAGACCCCCGCCAAGCAGCACCCTATGGGAATTCTAACACAAAATCTGGAGGGAACACCACCAAATTAAGTTCTCTGTTATATCTCTGGCAGCTTAACTGCTTTCTGCTGACCTAACGAACCAGCATTGTCGGGTTTTAATGCTTTTTTTTTTGTTGAACTATAACAGATCTATTAAACAGCTCACAAACCCTAAGTGTTATCAGTGAATCACCAAAAAAAAATACACCTGCGTCATCTGCATACAGGTAAAGAAAGAAAACATCTGTATGCCATCCAGATTACTCCCACCTCTGGTACCCAAAGGGATTGCTGAGCTGACATCTAACACTGGACAATCACTTTTCTCTCACGTGTTTAACATTTTATTAACTGACCCAGGAAGTATGGATTCTGTGTTAGTCAATGTGTTGGTCAGATTCATCTATATACTTTCATTGTTGTATTACATCATAGTTGACAAAATATGTTCTTCCTTTGATTTGATTCACCCAATTCAATGTTAACAGATGTGACATAAACCAGGATTGGAAGCATTCCATCCTTGAATGATTTAACTTCTCCTGCTATGCAACAGCCTTTTGCCAAGAAGAGAAAAATCCCTTGGGTAGCCAGAGGTCAAAGAAAGATGTGTGTGCCACAGCTTCGAGCTGAGCCTGGCCAAGTCAAGGTTCTGTCAACTAACTCAAACACTAGCAAGAAGTCATGGTTATTGTATCCTACCACTCTATTGGGATAAGTGTTTATTCCAGAGTTTTGAGCTGGATATTGAGGTGGGTATTAGAGGTTTCATTTTATAATGGCAGTGACTGATGTCCAAACACGACAACTCAACTGCCTTCATAGAATTTAGATAAAGGCATGGCTTTAAGTTAATGGTCAGTAAATATACAAATACCAAATGTAAAAAAGCACCTTTCCTGTTAACAAGTGACACATAGGGCTGGAGAGGTGGCTCACGAGAGGAGAGCACTTTCTGCTCTTCCAGAGGACCCAAGTTCAATTCCCAGTACCCACACGGTGGCTCACAATTGTCTATCACACTAGTTCCAGAGGACACAGCACCTTCTTTTGTCTTCCTGTGGCACTGTGCACACATGGTACATAAGAATACATGCAGGCAAACCACCCATACACATCAAATAAAAATGAAACAGACAAAACCCAGATAAAACAAGTGATAAATAAACGCATCAATGATGACTTTTCATATTATCTTACTATCATAAATATTTCATTTTACTGAAATGTTAAATGTTAGCCTAACATCTTTTAGCTAGAGCTATGTGTTAGAATCTATTTATAAAAGGCTGCTGCTTCCAAAACTGTCTTAATACAGTAGCTTATGGTAATATAAATTCTATGTTAGAAATAAAATACTTATGGGCAAATTTCTTAATTTAGATAGGTCCATCAAATTGAGGTGTTTTCTGAATTCACTTTTATTTTAACTGCCTTTACGTGTCCTGAAATAGCTATCCCAGAGATTTTCAGTGAATCATAATTGCTAAGATCGTGTCACCCTGCTCAGAATCATGGCAGTTTCAAAATCACAACTAAAACTTTAACAAATCAATCTAAAAGTCCCTATGTTATTACATCACACATTTGTTTCAATATTTTGATAGGTTTTCCCTGATTTATATTTCATGTATTTGAAACTTTTCTTTGATAGTGTGTCCATAGATTTTGCTGGCTTTCAAAAGAGCAAACTATATTATCCTGGGCAAGATCAGGATCTCCTGGGTTCCATCCCTAGTTCTACACACACACACACACACACACACACACACACACACAGAGAGAGAGAGAGAGAGAGAGAGAGAGAGAGAGCGCACTCACAATCATACAGTAACATTTTAGAGAATAGAACCTTTTGAACAAAGACTTTGTTAGAATGTAAACTGCTTTTTAAAGTGTCTGTGCAAAAGATTCTAATAATTTAAAGCCAACAAAAATCAGTAAGTATAGGCAAATTGCACCTAAGGAGAAGAAAACTAAAATCAAACTGTCGAGAGCCACAAGCAACTGGAAATTTGACCAAACTGAAAATATCACTGAATATCACCTATATAAAAGGACATTTTCCAAGCATTTATTTTACACTAGGAGTTTTTAAGTCTTGTGCTGCTGACATTTAGAGCCGCCTCATTTTTGACATGAGGGCTGTCCTATGCACTGCAGGACACTCAATGCCTTCCTTGCCTCCTACCCACTAGATGCATTAGCACCACTCTAGTATGATGGCCAATCATGGCTCTAGAAATTATCCCCCTGAGAGATGGAGCTGCCACAGCTGAAAATCCACACTTTGCAAGGTGAACTTGCTCATGCGTTACAAGTCTCTGTGTGTGTTTCTGTAGGAGCACATACGCATGTGCTGTGTCCACATGGAGGCTAGAGGAAGAAAACTAGCTATCTTTCACTTTTGCTCACCACCTCTTCTTTTCATACAGGGTCACTTCTTGAACCCAGCCTTCATCACCCGCCTAGACAGCAAATCCAAGGATCTGCTCGTCTCTGTGCTCTGAGTGTTGTTATAGTGCCACTGTGCCCAGATTAATATTTGCTGGGGATTTTTTTTTGTGTGTGTGTGTGGGGGGGTTCCGGATATTCCTACTTAGGTCTTCATGTTTGTACAATGGGCACTTTACCGACTGAACCATCTCCCCCTGATAAATATAAGAACACGGTTTGTTTAGAAAACGGAAAGGAACATAAAGTACCACTTTCTGGTAAGTCATCGAACAACTATTTAGCTCGCTTCCCACTGTGTGCTTAGGTTTTCACAAAACACTGACGTTGTGAAAGCCTACAAAGGAAAAAAAAAGCCCCGTTTTGCAGATTTTGCTTGAGGAAAGGTCTGTCTTGCTATCACTGTGATTTCTCTTTTCTCAGTCTGATATAGCAATGGGAGATACTTGACACTGTTAGTATTATTTTTAGAGCTACCTGGCTGATAAGGTTCCTCAGGGTCAGCAGGTGGCCATGGATGGCAGCATCGTGCAGAGGTGACCAATCAGACACGACATCTGCATGGAAAGAGAGGAATGAGTTACATCATGCTCATGTGCTTAGATCAGCACCCAAACTAAGGACTGAAAACACATGTCGAGTGAAGTAAGCCTAACACCAAAAACCAGTCCAACACGATCTAGCTCCTATGCAGGAAATGAAGAGGAGACCGGTGGTCACCAGAGGCTGGGGGAGTAGGATGAGAGAAGAGATAAAGAAGATTGATTAGTGGATACTAAATCACTCTTTGAGCGAGGAAGAGGACACTATGGTCCACTGCTCCTCCCTAGGGTGATTTTAAATAGCATCTGCCTGATACAGTCATCAAAGAGCTACAAAACTGTTGATATTTTTAGCATTAAGAAACAACCAGTGCTTGAAGAGACAGCTATCTATAACATGATTTCAACATGGATCAAGCCATTACCCAGTACCTCAGAAATGCATACAATTTTTGGTTTTATACATCGTTCCAAAACAACTCTGATTTAAATTACTATTTTAAAGAGGCAAGCTGCAATGCCAGGTAGATGACTGAACTTCCATTTTCATACTGGCTTCAAAGGCAAAGGATTCATTTAGTGAGGCGAGAGGTTTGCTAATTACCAGCATTAGAGAGTTCAGCTGTGGTTGCCAGTCTCCCTTCCTGCGTGAAAACACAAACTTTGGCAGCTCAGCAAACAGTAGCATGCACGAATAGTAGCAATCATATAATTACCTACACCATTGGGCTTGGAATCCAGTCTAAGGAACACTGTATCTATTTGTAGGGTACCATCTGTCCCAATATTAAGCACAAATCAGAATTCAGCCTAACCTTGAAATTGTGGCATCATTTGCGCCCCCCCCCAACCAATGTCCTAATGAGATTAAAAGAACCGTAAATTCTGACCCAGTTGACCTCTTCTGAACAGTAGCCCCCTAAACAAACTCTGACGCTCACTTTAATTCTGGGTAAAGACAGAAATATACTTACCCATGGCTCAATACGTATTAGCTACTATTATTATCTTGTCATGACACTAAACAGTGCCTTGATTACACCCCGTAAGCACTGCATTTAAAACGGCAAATGTGGTCTACTATCATTCAAGAGGGCTACAAATTTTCAGGAAAGAAGCCCGTAAACCCTATCCAGCACATTAAGCTTTCCTCTGCCCTTGTAATTAAGTATAGATATAATTGAATGCGGCATAGACCAGATTTGTTTCTCCTCTCAAGCTGCATCTGATTTCCAGAACAACTAGATGCAGGAAGCTACAATGAGGGAGGTTTGCCCGAGTCGGCATCGGCTCCAAGCTCTGCCTTGCTTTGATGAGCACACGGCACGCAGGCAAGGTGCGACTATCTAATGCTCCATGCTCCTTGCATGGGCACTAAAGGGCTATTAAAGGCTGAGAGAGCCTGAGAGCGTGGGGAATTGCTAATGCCCAGCAGACTGAAAGACCATGAAGAGGAAGATGAGAACACTCTGTACCTAACGCGCGTTAGCTGAGGGCTGCCTGCCACCTGGAGCCATCAGTGCCCTGGCAAATCTGTCCCAGGGAGCAAATTACCATCCTTGCAGATGGACTCATTAAGCATTTAGTACATGAAAGGACGCCGTGTGGGCCACCTACACGCAGCCCAGCCAGTGCTTTCGTACTGGGGTCATTAAGGTCTGGAGACAAAACACCTTAAGGGAAATGGCTTTTTCCTAGCTTCGAAATCTTGAACTAGGTACCTAGCCTCACAGCATGCGCAGAGGTTCCTAATTCTCTCAGGAAAAGCACCACTGCTTCTAGGGAGTTTTAATTTCAGATTATACAATCGGAAAGGTTGGATGCTGAGTTAGAATACAAATGCAGGTAATCCCATCCTTTGGATGCTGATCATGGAGGACACCATTCACAGAACATCCTCTGCGAGAAAAGACAAATCTCGAGGATGGTTTTGAAAATTAGATTTAGTGCATGTGAACTGGACACCAACGGCTGAGTGTGACATGGTTAGCTTGTTTTTTTTTTCTTCCAAGCACTCAGCTGCTAAGAAATACAGCTGTCAAAACCCTCTGCGTTTTTAATGCTGTCTAAGATTATTATATTTGACAGCCTAAACAGTCCAGGAAGGTCATTTAGGGCCTAAATTACATCTCTGCCCAGATGTCATTAAAGTGTTGCAACTATATTATTAACTGAAGGCCCAAAACTGGGTCTCGGTTCCTACTTAGTCATCAAAGAAACATTATTCCTCTTTGTTACAGCAAATACAGAATGATGCTCCTCCCCCAAGACCCAAACCAAGTCTAATGGATGCTTTGAAATCATGCACAATTTAGTATTGAGGGAGCAGAGACAGCCTGCATCTTTTAGAAGTATAAAATATGGTTTGAGAACACACCACAAGGCTGACAATACTAATATCTACATCTGGATAGCTAGTGAACATCTTCATTGAGCTACAACTCACATATGACCTGCCCATTGGAAGTATATATAGCCCAATGCTTTTAATTATAAATACAGGAGTCTGCAACCAGCACCACAATCGATCTCGGGCCATTTTCATTACCTTGTGAAGAAGCCTCACGGCCATTAACATTCGCTAGATATCTGCACCTGCCTCAACTGCCGACAACCATTGATCTGTTTCTTGTCTTCAAGGATTTGCCTATTCTAGACAGTTCTTCTAAGTGAAACTGTATGTTATGTGGTTCTTTGGAACTGATGCCTTTAATTCAGCATGCTCTAGGCTGCATCCACCCTGTAGCATGTACTAGCACTTCCTCCCATCTATAGTCAAATAACCATTGTTATAGATAGACTACATTTTATTGACTCATTCACCAGGTGAAGCAAATTTGTGTGGTTTCCACCTTGGGGTTGGTAATAATGTTGTTATAAAGATCCCTGTCCATATTTGGGATAGATGTATGTTTTCAATTATTTGTATCTACTCCCCCCCCCGCAAAAAAAAATGAGACTTCTGTTTAGCCTCTTGAGAGTACTCTCCAAAGTGGCTGTCTCACGATATATTTCCATCAACAATAGACAGGGGTTACCCTTCTAACCCCAAAGCCATTTTGATATAACATTTGTTAAGCTCATGCTCCTGCCCAGAAGAAAAACATAGGTCTAAGCTTATCCTAAACCTTTCTTAAGTGCATACAAGGCCTCTACCCTTAGCATATCTCAGAATAGCAGAGTAAGTAAAAAACCTAAATATTGATACCGGTAAGAGTAACACATTAACACTTTTCTAGCATTGACGCAGCACAGACTACACATGCAAGGGGGAGGAAGGGAGAGATGGAAGGAGCGGATGAGGGAGAGAAAGCGAGGACAAATCAAACACCATAATGTTGCAGGATAGAAATAATCCATACACCCTCTGCTCTATAAAATACGGGAAGGAAAGTTGAGTTTTGTTCTGTGTGACAGCCAACTCAGGAAAGACCTAGAACACCCTTCTCCAAGAGTTTCCAGGACACATGTCTGAAGTAAGCAATGAGCTACAGGCTCAATCTATGGCCAACAAAATCCTAAGGCAACCTCTCCCACTTCCTGACAAGTGCCAGCTAGAAAGAAGAGAACAAGCAAAGAGGGGACAATGTTCCTATCAGACCAAGGACGGTGCTCATGGGAGGAGACTATCCATGAGATAACCAGGAGGCTCAGGGCCACAATACCTTTTTTATATCAACTCCACCACAGTCTTTGAAATTTGAGAGTCATTGTATGCAACAGATTGTACACACTCTTGGCATATTGAATACTCATTAAGAGCATTTGTTCAACTATGGTCTATATCTGTTTTTACAGCCAAAAACAAAATGGATGCCAAACGAGGTCACTGATAACAGAATGGATCCAGCATTGTGATTTATGAGTGAACAACGTAGGAAACACTCAAGACAAAACTACTCCATGAGTCCTCCAATTAGTGGCATTAAACTTACCCGAGAAAAGGAGAGCGTCTCCATCAAGCCTGTGGCACATTAGGAAGGTTGTCGTTTCACTTTTATTGTGCTTTCTGGAACAATTTCTAAGATTTCCATTATTTCAGAAGAGATTTAAAGTGCACTAATTGCTGCATTCTGAAAAGAGCTATTAAGGAAGCTCAAAGAACTCTAGTAAATGCGGGGCAGTAGCATAAATCCGTCCACGTTGGGAAACATTCTGCAAGGTCAAAAGTGGGAGGAGGGAGTTGCTCTAAAGAGACTGGAGTATCTGAGACGTGGCAGAGGCAAATTTGGTGGCATGAGCTGATACTACAACATTGGGGAAGAATCTTATGAGGAGAGGGTGGAGCGAACACGAGACCTGCTGGGCAAGATGGTCATACCTATTCCATCTATTATCCACCCCCTTTTCCTCCCCTCTTCCCTTCTTCCCCCTCTCTGGACCCTCCTCCCTCCTGCTCTCCACTATCACCTCTTCTGTTTTCACAGAGAAGACACCTTCAGAGCATCCTCTGCCAAGTCACCACAATATCTTAAAGTAACCAACCCATCCCCAAATGAAACCTACTTTCTTTCTATGTGATTCTTGCCTGCTTTCTGCTTAAATGTGAAAATTCTCTTCTAATAGGATGGGTTTAATCTTATAAAGAAAGAATTACCTGTAGATGTATGAGCTTCCTGGCCCACAAACAAATGAAAACCAACTTTGCCAGAGAGACGGCTCAGCAGATAGAGATACTTGCCACCAAGCCCAATGGCCTGAGTTCAATCCCCGGGCTCCACATGGTGGAAGGAGAGAACCTATGCCCACAAATTGTCCTCGGGACCTCCACAGGCACACATTCACACACATACAAAAGGAATAAATGTAAAAAAAACATGTTGCTTTAAACTTAACTAATAGATGGATGATAGATGGAGTTAGGGAGGTTAATTCACCCTTCAATGTACTCTGTGAAGTGTCTACAACCAATGTGAGTTAGTTTCCTAAAATTCTGTTCCAAACTACATCAAACTAGGTGGCTTAAGACAATTGGAATGTATTCTCTTGCTGTTGTCGAGGCTGGGAGTCTAAAGGAAGCCTGACAGCTTCAGCAAGGACATGCCCTTTCCAAGTCTCAGGAAGGAATCCCTCCTATCCTCCTCTAGCTCCTGATACTGGACGTCCATCCTTGGCTTCCCTTGATTCGTAGATGCCTTGTTTTAATCTCTCCTCTGCCTCCTATCATTCTCTCTGAATGCTCCCTCTCCTTTTCTTATTGAAACACCAGTCTTCAGGGATTAAGGATCCAAGCCACGCCAGTGAGGCTTCGTTTTTAGTGATGATACCTGCAGCCACTCAGTTTATCAATAGCAGTCTCTTCTTGAAGTGCAAAGACAAGTTAGGATTTCAAAGTATCTTTGGGGAGGTACAACTCATTTCCTAACAAAGTACTTTCAGGGGAGGAATGGTATTCTTTCCCTGTCCCTGGGACAGCAAATTCAAGCATTAAATAAATCTCTGGATGAAATGGCTCTCCATCTTCCCATCCTTTTCTCTCTTCCTTGAGAGAAAGGCGCAGAGAAAAGAATGAACCATACCCAGTCCTAGGCTTCCCTCTGGTGTGTCCTTGAGCCAGAGGGTACCTTCAACTGAGCTGAGTATCTTGGAGCCAACTCTGGAAACAACATTCTGAATGTTCCTCATTCCACACTTCACCAAGGTCAAGGCCTCAGAAGTGTAAACAAAATGTAACAAGTTACTGCTGAGGGTTTTTTTTAACCCCTGGTGCAAAGAGAGCAAAAAAAAATGTCTATTTGGGAAGAGGAAAAAACCTGGGAGGGCTGCATGGGTGCAATGGTTCTGCTGGGTGTGGAAGGTGGGAGGGAGTTTGTCATTCTGGATCAGAGACGGAGGAGGTAAGCAAGCAGGTATGGCCAAGTTTCCGGGCATCTATCCTGTGATTCTTGTGTCTTTGAAAGCTGCTAACCCTTTAGGCTACATGGAATAGTAGTATCAGAAATCTGGTTCTGCTTTTCTGTTGAACTTAATGGTTTCACATTCTTGATGCCCCCCAGGTGCCAGTTCTTGGCCACTGGAAAAATTCTCCTTTCCCTGGGTTTCAGCCACAAGCCCTCTGCAGAACATTCTGAGGCTTCTCGCATTCAACCTGTATTCATTTCCATCCTTAGCCCCATAACATCAGGCTATGTGGATTCATTCCTTTATGTCCAAAATAGAACTCTGATGAGCCAGAGAGACTTATTAAAAAGCTTTCCACATAAGAATGACCTCTGACCTTCACGCATATATACATGCATATGCACACATACAGGGACATGGACATATAACATAGTTAGAGGGAGAGAACTCTGCATCCTTCCTTTGTCACCCCACTCCAAAGGCAGTACCCTTTCAAACTTCCCCTTTATTTAGCCAAAATGTATACTCCAGGTTCAATGAGAAACAGACCCTGTCTCAAAAGAACAAGATAGAGAGCAGTAGAGAAATATAGCCAATGTTGGCCTGTGTCCGCCACCATCACACGCAGGTATATAGTGCATGCACTCACTTTCATGTTCACACACACACACACACACACACACACGCACACTCGTGCGCGCGCACACACACACACACACACACACACACTTCATCATCCAGTTCCATCTCTCCAAATTAATTCTCACAAAATTGACTCCAAGGTACTCTCCGTCCTAGCTGGAAGAGCCTGCAGCATATCCTCCAGGAGAAAGTGGCTAGTTCTTCTCCCCACATACAAACAAAACAAATCTAAAAGCAGAAACCTCTGCTGTGGAGCGACTGTTCAGAATGCTCCTGAATTCCCGTTTCCAACAACGAGGGGATTCGTGCTTTAAAAATAGTCATCAAACCCTTTTTCTTTTTTGACAGTGAGTCTTAATGTCACTCGACCTCCCTACTACTCCTAATGTGTGCTCTATGCATTCTAATAAATTCAGCTCTGTCTTTGTGTATGGACGCTCTGCTCACCCCTGAGGGTTGGCAGAGTTTGCAAGGAAAATTGGAGAGAAAAGAAGAATGTGCAGGCCTGCCTCCTCAGTCAGAGATGGAAGGCATTTTGTACTGTCTGCCTTCTATCGTTTTCCCATTTTCCCTTTACATACCGGGGCAGAATGACATTATTAAGTCCTAGAGGACTTTAGAACCCCTGTTTGTTGTCCTTCTAGCAGACAAGTGTTACAGGCAGCCTACCAGTGAACTGAACGGAATACTGTCTCTTTGGACGCTTAGGCCCAGGATTGCTTCATCTTGAAGCTGCTGAGTGCTAACAGGAGAGTGACAGCGAGTGACTGCATGAGACTCTCCACCAGCCAGCGTGCAGCGTTGTCACCCAGCAGGTGCATTTCACACCTGTGGGAAACCCTCCAGTATTTTCTAAGACTTCTTTCTAATGTCAATCCATCAGCCAGCATCCTTGACAAGCCTAGCCTCACCAAATTTGAAATGTCTAGGAGAACTTTTAACAAAAAGAAATGTTTTAGCAAATTAAGTGTTCCTATAGGACCCAATAATGGTGATGCACACATATATGCATGCACACACACACACACACACACACACACACACACTTGTAATCTCAGCACTTCAGAGGCTGAGGCAAGAGGAGAATGAGTTTAAGGCCAACCTGGACCACACAGGAGACCCAAACCCTGCTGTTTATAAGTAACTCTTCAACCTCCTATTTAATAAGTAATACATCTGACCCACAAAAGAATGATTCCTTGCAGCAAAACTTTTCACCACTAGAAAATGCTCCTAGATAATTAAAATTTGTTTCACCTTTATGACTCTACAGATAAAGGTAGATTTTTAAATAACCACATTAGGGATGCAGACTAGCAAGCTAGGGATGGATGTCTGTCTAGTAGCTAGCTGCCCTGCAGATATCCCACAGAAAGACCCACTCACTGACACAGTCCAGTTCTCTTCTCTCTCCTGATGTTAGCCACCCACCCCGGCACTCTGAGTTCCCGGCTTCCATGACTCACCCCCCATCAAAGGATTTGAAAGGAATCTGAGGTGAGGAGAGCCTCCTGGCTTGTCACTCCTGCCCCCTTGTTCACCATCCATGGTACTCTCGTAGGTCAGCAAACTACGTTCCACTTCAGTTGCTCAGGAAAACCCGAATGACATGCTCCTGGTGTCCCTGGGAATTTCCAGTTCCGTGGTTGGCTGAACTGCACACGTCCTGGTCCAGGCAGTCTGCAGCAGAGAACAGCACAGGCAGGGTTATGTGAGTACTACCTGTAGTCAAACAGATTCGCATGCAGACAGACACATACACACACACCGCATACCACACATGCATGCCCACACACAAACACACACACACACGTACTCTCCACCTAGCAGGCTGGAGACTGGCCAAAGTCCACAACAGTCCCCCAGGCCTCAAGTCTGCAAAGTTGCTGATGTCACGCCCCCTTCTTTTCTAAACTGAGACCAATCAGGGGGCAAGCTTTAGAGTTTATCAAGAAAGAAATTTACACTTGGTAACTTTTGGGTAATGAAAAGAGCTGGGTGGCTGTGTAGGAGGCCACTGTTCAGACTCCTGAGATCTGTTTGCTACTTCAGGGCGTCTCAGACAAGCCCCAGCATCCAAGAACCGAGAAAGCTGCTTTTGCAAGAGCTCAGAGGAACTGCTCGCACGGGAACATGTACAGCCCAGCCTGGCCATCTGCACATGTGGTTTCAATTTTGCTGGGAGTGTCTTATGGAAAAATGTGTCTGTATGTTACAAAAATGCACGGGGTAGAGGTGGAGAGGGACAGAAAGGGCTTGCTTTCCTCTTTGGGGGGCTGCAAGTTCACGCCATGTCCCATGTTGCCCTTCCTGTACACACTTTAGTTCTACCTGTAAATAACTGCCAGACGGCTGAGGTTAGAGAAATGGATCACAGGTGTGAAAGAGACCCACTACCTTTCAATTGCCCATTGGGAAGAGAACTGTTTTGTTAAGGTCGGCTCAGTTTGCCTACAGGAGGATTTAGGCTTTCAGTATAGGTGACTTTTCCATTTCCACTTTTCTTCCCGGGTGCCGGATCCAGGCAATCACTCATATGGCCACCGTCAATGGGTTTGAAAGAAGCCTGGTATAAGCAGAGCCTCCTGGCCTCAGTGGCTTGCTGCTTTTCCTGCCCCTTATCTACTCACCATCCGTGACCTTCTCCGGCACCAGGACACTACACGCTCCACATCACTGGCTCAGGAAAGATTCCCACTTTCCTTCTCTTCCAGGTTGAAGAGACTATCTTAGCCCCAAAAGTCTCTGAGCTACTCTCAAGGACAGGCCGGCTTTCAAACCCTAGAGATTTGTTTGAGATGTTTGGGTTCTCAGTTGGAACATTTTGTTTTTTTTTTTTGTTTTGTTTTGTTTTTTTTTTTGCGTGTCCTAGTTTTTTTTTGGTATTTTAAATTTATTTATTTATTAAGGATTTCTGCCTCGTCCCCACAACCGCTTCCCATTTCCCTCCCCCTCCCCCGATCAAGTCCCCCCCCCCTCTTCTGCTCGAAGAGCAATCAGGGTTCCCTGACCTGTGGGAAGCCCAAGGACTGCCCACCTCTATCCAGGTCTCGTAAGGTGAGCATTCAAACTGCCTAGGCTCCCACAAAGCCAGTACGTGAAGTAGGATCAAAAACCCACTGCAATTCATCGCCTGATGAAGGTTAATATTCCTGAGGATGCCTATGTGTTTGTCTTTGGATTCACCTTATTTAGCTTCTCTAGGAACATGAATTATAGGCTCAATGTCCTTTATTTATGGCTAGAAACCAAATATGAGTGAGTACATCCCATGTTCCTCTTTTTGGGTCTGGCTTACCTCACTCAGGATAGTGTTTTCTATTTCCATCCATTTGTATGCAAAATTCAAGAAGTCCTTGTTTTTTATTGCTGAGTAATACTCTAATATGTATATATTCCATACTTTCTTCATCCATTCTTCCGTTGAAGGGCATCTAGGTTGTTTCCAGGTTCTGGCTATTACAAACAATGCTGCCATGAACATAGTTGAGCATATACTTTTGTTGTATGATAGGGCCTCTCTTGGGTATATTCCCAAGAGTGGTATTGCTGGATCCAGGGGTAGGTTGATCCCGAATTTCCTGAGAAACCGAAACACTGCTTTCCAGAGTGGTTGAAACATTTTGTAACCAGTTGTAACCACTGCGTGCTGTTTGTTCGCTTTTTCAAATAAAAGATGGCTCTGTGGTTCAGGCTGACCTTGAGCACACTTTTTAGTCAGGTGAGCCTCTAACCAGTAGCAAACCCTTTCTTTTCTTTTCCACCTCCAGAGTGCTACGATTACAGGTGTGCACTGTGGCACTTGGTGGCATCCTTCAGATTTTTAATGCATTTCTGTGCATACATACACTTACCCTTGCACATCTTTAGTGTAATTTTGCTATCATCCTGTCCTATAGATTTTACATTTAGTCTGGAAAGCTTTCTATTGCCCCATATATAGATATATTCATTTCTTTATTCTCCACTGCATTTGGCATTGTGACAAAAGTATTTCCTTGTGCCTGGTGGTCATGGTACACACCTTTAATGCACTTGGGAGGCAGAGGCAGGTGGGTCTCTGTGAGATCAAGGCCAGACTGCTCTATAGAATGAGTTCCAGGACAGTCAGGATTACACAGAGAAATCCTGTCTTGAAACATAAAAAAATAAAAATAAAAATAAAAAAAGAGCATTTCCTTGTTCCCAATGATGGTAGCAGGATGTGATCATTTTTTTGGACCGCTAGATACATATTATAAGCAGTTTCTACATACATTGTTTTGGACATATCTGCAAGTTTCTCTAGTGAAGAGATTCCAAAGAACGGAAATACTAATTCAAGATTACATTCTTATGGGGCTGGAGAAAACCAGAGTTTAGTTCCCAACACCCACATCAGGCAGCTCACAACTGCCTGTAACTCTTGTAGGGTGAGAGGTCTGAGTCCACTTCCAGGTTTGAAAACCTGCCCAAATCCGCCAATCTCTGATCTCATCCCTGAGCTCAAACCCACCAATCCTGAGCTCAAAAATCCATCAATCTCTGAACTCAAACCCACCAGTCCCTGATCTTGAAATCCCACCAGTTCTCCAGTTTGGCTTGAAATCTCGCCAATCCCTACTCTGGAAATCTCCACCTTGGAGAACTCCTCCCCAAAGAAAGCCTACATAAGCCTACCTCCTGCTCAGTTCCCTGTTGCTTCTTGCCCGAGCAGAGGTAGGCACCCTCTTGCATCTTTCTCAATAAATCTCCTACATGAGGTTTGTTATGTGACATGACTTTGTGGTATTTCTTGGCTCCCAACTGCCAGGATACCTTTCCCTTCAGAGCTGTAACACTTGTATTGGGGGAACCTTTCCAGCCTCAGAGCTGTGACACTTGTATTGGGGGAACCTTTCCAGCCTCAGAGCTGTGACACTTGTATTGGGGGAACCTTTCCAGCCTCAGAGCTGTAACACTTGTATTGGGGGAACCTTTCCAGCCTCAGAGCTGTAACACTTGTATTGGGGGAACCTTTCCAGCCTCAGAGCTGTGACACAACTCTAGCTCCAAGAGACCTAATGCTCTGTTCTTGCCTCCCTTGTCATTCATGTTCAAATACCCACACATAGACAAGCATATGTGTCTAAATTTAAAAACTTAAAAATAAATCTTTTTAAAGGCATGCTCTTACACATATAATAAATTATATGAAACCAAAGATATACACACACATGGCTGGATACAAGTAAATAGGGGAAACTGAAAAAAATCAGTAGATTACATGAATGTTGCCTTTTTCTTTTTTTGAGCATGTATGTATATGTTGTGTGCATGCATGTGTTCATGTGGGGGGTAAATGTACATGTGTGTACATGCACATATGGAAGCCAGAGATTGACGGTAGGTGTCTTTCTCAGTTGCTGTACATCTTATATACATTGGTTCAGAGTCTCCCACTTGAACCCAGAACTCATCGATTCAGCTAGTGCTGACAGTCAGCTTTCTCTAGGAGTCCTCTGTCATCACCTACCGAACACTGGAATTACAGGTAAGCCTCCACACCTGCATGGCCTTTATATGTGAGCTGGAGATCTGAACTCAGATCCTCATACTTGGATGAAAACCACATTACCCAGTGAGCCATCTATCTGCCCGGGCCATGGATGTTGACTTCTGATGGTGACATATTACGATACCATTGCAAAGAGGTCTCATGTTCCCACTGAGGCAGGCTAAGTGCACAGGAGGGCTTGTCTTGTTATTTCTTTGAAACTATACATGAAGCTGTAATTTTCTCAGTAAAAATTTTAGTTTTAAAGAGTGACTGCTCCTTTAAAATTGGGATAACTGCAACCAAATTGCTTACCATCTCTGGTTGCAGGCTTTACAGGGAAGGTGGCATGCATGCAAATCTTCCAGCGCTGTATCAGCAGAGACATGCAGAACCGTAAACGTATTTGGCAGAGAGTGAAAAGTTTACTTCCGACGTAGAAGGTTGAGGAGGGGTCTAAACAGAGAGCTCTCTTGGGGCAGCTGGATACTATTGCCATTTGTTCCCACTAAAATCTTCAGAGTCCAACTTTCTTACATTTAATTCAGTTTGAATAAGATGCTATTTTCCCACAGTCAAATCTAAGTTCCAAAATGGCAGAAAAGAACATTTACAGGTTGTCGCACTTGGGAAGGAATTTACCGGCACTGAATCTTCTCACGGTATTTATTATGATGAGCACTGCGAGCAAATAAGATGGGAGCTGGACTGTCAACTGCTTGATAATAGTTCCCTACAGGAAAGCTGCATGCATTTTAAAGAACTAGTATGATAAAAGTTGAACTGCATAATACATGTATGAGCTATGATTATAGAAAAGAAGATGACTGATCATAAGCCATAAAAGATCAATAGTGTTAGTAAGTCATAGTGAGCCCTTGTGCCCATCAGTGTATGTGTGTGCCTGTGTGTGTGTGTGTGTGTGTATGCTAGTGTGTGTTTATGTGTTTATTTTTAGTGAAATTTGTCCAGGGTGGGTAAGAACAAAAACACTGCACAGCAGATGGCAGGGTCATACTCATTCCTTCCAAGT